TAAGAGCTAGTTGACTGGAAGATAGGTTTAAGTGTCTAGACTTTCGCATGACGGATCAACGGACTAGTTATGCTTGTATTTTGGTGAGAATTTTCTAGACTATACCAGATATGAGCATAATGACTAACTTTGGTTTAGAAGCATGGTCTCTGAGATTTTGTTAGTTTCTGGGATTTTCAAACCTCTTTTCTAGAGTTAGATATTCTGTTTTGTTTGAGGACAAAAAAAGATTTAAGTCTGGCAGAGTTGATAACACCTGATTTTGACAATATTCATGGATCACTTTCAGTATCTTGTGCAGGTGTTTTCAATCACTTTTGAAGGTTTTATAAGTGTTTTCCATTTTTGGAGTTTTAAAAGACTTTTCAGGTTACTTAGGAAAAAACAATGTGAATTGGAGAAAAATCCACTTTTGGCCAATTTCGGACCGTCAGAGGTTTCACATCCGATGAAGACTTTCTCACCGTCTGATCAAGCTCAAATTTGGATACAAGATAGAGGAAACAACCATATTTCCAATACAAGTAAAATAAAAGCAATCTAACGGTTGGAGCATAAGTTATCTCCAATTTACTTAAGAAATGTTCTGCAGTTTCGCAAAAGAAGCAAGAGAAAGAATGAAGTTTGGGCATCATAGACCAACCACCGCGGTCCAGGAGCTCGTGACCACGGTGAATACCATCCTGGCCACGCCTCAGAGCCTCCAGCCATGGTGGACCCATATTTACCAGCCTTGGAGAGCCCAATTCTGCAACAAGCCCATAAACGACCCAATAGCCTGTTTTCAAGCCCAACTAATTCTCTTTGCAAAAGAAACCCTGAGGACGATCAGAAACACTTGGAGACCTATAAATATGTATTTTAGAAGACCTAATTTCGTGTGTGATCCTTTGCCCTTGATAGGGAGACACCCAACTTTTGTTTCTTAGGTTTAGATTAGGGAGATATAGATTTTTCTCTTGAACCTTTGTTGTTTCTTTTCATCTATCTATTCAGTTTATGCAATCTCTTTTACTTTACTGCTTTTCTGTTTCAAAACAAATGATGATGTTGTCAAGCTCAGCCATGTCTGAGTAGTCACCTTGCTGGGTGAAGATGGCCATCAAAAGGGACCCCATGACCGATGACATCAAGGTTTTTTAGGTGAAAAGATTTCAATTTTAAATGATTATCCCATTCATCCAAATCTCAATGCGGTAATGCTAGAGTAGCTAACCAGTGTCCGATCCTAGGTTAAAGCCGAACCACGAGAGTGTTGTATCTGAGTTGCCTGAACTGGATCTTTTGGACGTCACCGTCGTAGGAGACGAAAGCTACCTACGGAGGATACGTAAGTCGAGATGGATTCCGAGCTGAAATGCATGATCTTATTCTGGCATGAGAGCGAGAGTTAATTGTCATGAATAAGTAATTAGATGATTAGGGTGACAAGAGTTGGCTAATCTTAGAAGTGTCTATCCTAGTTTCAGAATCATAGAAAATCCTTACCTAAATTCTTTGTGTCATATATCATGAACCCTAGGATGAATCCTAATGCCCGGCACGTTTTTCATCCTTGTTTTTATCTATTTTTATATCCTGTTTAGCTTAGTAAAATCGTGACACCAAAACCCCATAAAAAACCCCATTGGTCTTTGATTTCAATTACTAATCCAGTTTGAAGTTTCTGCAGAAAAAACAACTTTTTCTGTGGATCGACACCCTTAGTACTACAAAGCACGGCTGTGCACTTGCAGATACTAGGGTTTATAAATTTAAAACTATTTTGCGACAGCAACCCTAGCTCGCATCACAGAACTCCAAAAGCTTGCTCAACATCTTTTTGGACTGATTTTTGATATGTAGCATATAACGATGTTTTTGGACCTTGAGGAATTTGAATAGATTGTATAAAAGTTATCCATTTTAGATAAATACCGACTGTGAGGTAGTACAACAAATGATACCCGTGTCCGTTGAACCAGTATTACACTTTTGGAGCTCGACCTTGTAATATGTCATCAAAAACAGGTGAACTATCAAGAACATTAATATCGTTAATGGTACCTGGAGGTCCAAAAAATGTGTGCCATTGTGATGCTACAGCCTCTAAGACGATTGTCGGTTTTCCAGAACCATGTGCATATTGTCATTTCCAAGCGGTAGGACAATTCTTCCACTCTCTATGCATACAATCGATGCTTTCTTTTATTCCGAGAAACCCATATCTCTCCAAGATTGATATTTGGTCGCCTTGGTCCATTTCAGTTTGGTTTTCAGCCCAAACTATTTGATTCTTGATCGTTATAAGTTATAACATATACGCAAGTATAAACTATATAACCCATTAAAGTTTGAGATCTTCAATCCATTTTTTGTTATGTTTCTTTTGTCATAAACTCCAAGCATACTCTAAACAAATGCACCAAAAACAGTATTTTTTGCTAGAGTAATTTACCTTCCAAAATAAGCCAGAGAAATTTTAACAGCACGTAAACATAATTACATAAACCATATGAATCTTTTCTTCAATATCATTTAAGATAAATAGCACTATATATGAAAAAGAATATGGTAAGAATTAGAACAAAAAAAATCTGTTTTTGTATTTGTTAGTGTTAACTAGACGAAAATACGTACATGTCACCCAAAATGTTTTTTTATCATTGTGCTATACTGTTATTTATTAATGTAGCATATGTTTGTTTTTTTTTTGTTAAATGATCTTCATATTGAAATATATTTTTTTGGTTTTTGGGCTTACAATACTTACACTAAAACAAGGAAACAAAACTAAGCCCATAATAGGCCGACAAAAAAAACCAGAAATTTAAAGCGAGCACACTAAATCTCCTAATGGGCCCAGATTGCGTCCTATCCCGATCTGGAAAGACAAAACCGCAAAAATCTACAGAGTTCGAAAACCCTAATCCGCCTGCGACGGGAGCATGAGCCGCCATCAACGAAACTTCCAAGGGAGATCTGAACCGCCATTTTGAATGAAAGCACCGCTTGATGACGAAAACATCAACCGCATGGAGAAATACAGAGCCCACCAAGAGGAGCGTTGGAGCGCGATTTGCAGAGCGAAGGAACCAGATCTGGTTCATGCCGCCACCGTGATTCCCTTCAGACCCGCCACCGGCGGGTTTACTGAACAATCGACAGCGGTACCTGATGCCTCCAACTCACCTCCTCCGAGAAACGCTTTCAAGACCCGTCGACGTCTTCAAAACGGCGAGCTTTACTCAACGCTCCTCAGCGCGCCGCCGCAGAGCACGGCTTGAGCCTCCACCTTGACACCGGGAGACCAGCAAACAGACCAACACGGCGTAGCCACCGAGGGGTATCAACGACAAGCCAGAGAGGAACAGAAACCGGCCGTAGTCCTTGATAAGACTGGATCTGCAAGGGCTGTCGACAACCGCCAGAGGCGACTCCGAGATGCTTCGCCGGAGAGACCACCGACACACCAAACAGAACCGAGACAGAAGGCAAACCGCAGAGAGAGACACCAGGCAAAAGAAAAAGTGAGAAGTGAGGGCCCTCTCACGTCTCTGGCTAGGCGCGCTAAAAACCGGAGAGGGCTAACGGAGAAAACTAGGGAGGAGACCGGCGGCTAGGGGAGTTGGGAGAGAAAGGCCTCTCAAAGGCCGAGCTATTTCCAGAGCATGTGTTTGTTAGTATGAGTTCTACATTTCAACATCTTCTATTATTATTTTAGGACAAATTCGAAAAAAACCTTTGTATCATATGATTTACAATTGTGTCATTTTAAAATGTAGCAGCTTCTCAAAGAATTTTTTAAATTAGAGTCAATTTACTAGATTAATTACATCATATGCCATTAATATTAATTTGATAAAATATTAATTTATATTAAATATATATTTAATACTCAAACATTTAATTTATAAAAATATTCTTTCTTTTTGTTTCTTATCAATATATTAATAAAAATTTAATATATAATATTATTTATGTTACTAAATATTATTTTTTTATCTCATCTTTCTTTAATTTTTTTCTTTTTTTAAATAATCATATTATCTATTTAATAATAAAAAAATCTAAATATTTTCATGCATATTATAATTCATATTTTTTTTTATATCAAAGCAAAGTATCTTAATCTGATGTTAGACCGGTTAGATAGAACATATTAATATAATTTGATATATTTAATGTATAATTTTATTCATATAAAAATACTACTAAAATAAATTATAAAACCAATAACTGTCTAACATTTATGCAATTGTATTATAAAATAAATATAACTTTAATCATTATTTACAATTACATAATTATTATATATATTTACAATTATAAATATCAGATAATATTTTTATAGTTATATTTATATATATTATATTTACATATTCAAATAGAAGAATTATACTTAATATTTACTCTACACATTATGCGGATAAGCACCTAATATTATCTTATTTATTAAAATTACAAATATAATAAGAAATATGAATTATGTTATTTAAATATGTGACAATATATTTAAATAACATAATTCATATTTCTTATTATATTTGTAATTTTCCATGTGATTAACCTTCCACATTTCATAATACTTTTTAAGGATTAATGGATATCATATCACACACAGACATAATAAACATAAATATATAGCTTATATGTTCACATGTTTAAATAACAAGGTTTTCGTGCAGAATTCGTGATTTCCACCAATAACACGTAATATGTGGGCAATGTAATTGGCAAATCGATCGTGTATTGAATCAAGAACTTAGATAAATGATTAAATAAAAGCAACTTCTTTTATTAATTTTAGGAAACTCATTCAAAACCTAAAGCTCTCTTTAATCTCTCTCTCAACTCATAAGGTTTACCACAACTTTGGCAACTCTTATAGAGACTAAAGACACACAACTCCTAATCCTAGTAGATAAACAACTTTTCCTTTTTCTTAGATAACTCCTAAGAACATTCTAGATAACTCCTAGATTTTTTCCTTTTCCTAAACTATTTAAGAAACTTGTTGCTCAAGCTTTGATCAAGCTTATTCCAACATTCTCCTCCTTAAGCTTGAAATCCTCTTTTGACAAGTCTTGAATCCCAATAAGCTCTCTCATTTCCTTGAACTTAATCCTCCCAAGTGCTTTGGTTAGAATGTCCGCCCTCTGCTCTGTTCCCGGAACATGTTCGACTTCGATCAGCTCGTTTTCAATACATTCCCGTATAAAATGGTATCGTTGGTGAATGTGTTTACTGCGACCATGAAATACTGGGTTTTTGGTAAGTGCTATAGCAGATTTGTTGTCAACCCGAAGAATTACTCTTTCACTTATTGACCCAAAATCTCACCGAACAGTTCCTGTAACCAGATCGCCTGTTTTGCTGTTTCCGTAGCAGCCATAAACTCTGATTCACACGATGAAAGAGAAACAGTCTCTTGCTTCTGTGAAGTCCAAGTAATCGGACACTCATTGAGGTAAAAGATGTGCCCTGACGTGCTCCTTCCATCATCCAAGTCTACGCCAAGACTGCTATCGCTGTATCCTATTAAACCCGGTTTTGTCTCTCGTCTGAATGAGGGGCCATGAGCTAAAGTCCTCTTGAGATACCTTAAAACGTGTTTTTAATGCTGCTTCATGGGACTCTTTTGGCTCTTGTATATACCTGCTTAATATGCCAACACTGTATGAAAGATCAGGCCTTGTTTGTAACAAGTACCTAAGACACCCAATGTTCCTCCTGTTGTTTGTTTCATCAACTCCCTTTTCTTCCTTTGCTTTAGACAGTTGAAGACCTGGGTCCATAGGTGCTTGTGCTGCGTTGCAGTCTTTCATTCCAGCTTCTTCAAGGATCTTTGTTGCGTACCTCTCTTGTTTTAACATAATGCCGTTCTCATGTTGCAGCACCTCTATTCCAAGATAATATGTGAGTTTGCCGAGATCGCTCATCTCGAACTTGGTCGCCATTCCTCTTTTAAACTCAAGAATCGTACTCACGTTAGACCCTGTGATCAAGAGATCCTAATCGATATATATATATACTTGTCGATATCTTCAAACAACTTGACTCTCTGGGACTAATATACATGATGCAATGAATGATGAAAGACATAGAAGAAAGCAAAAGAATGAAACAGAAAAGTTAATAAGATAAAAAGGAGGAAGAACAATGGATCTGGGGAAGAATCCCTATCTCCATCTGGGGAAGAACAAAGTTTGGTTGCTCAAAATCTCATTACAGGAGTACACACCCGTTTAGGGCTGCTAAACAATGTATTTATAGGTCCTAAGGTCTTCCAGGTCTCATTTAGGGATTCTCTGAAGAGAAATGGCGAAGTGGGCTTTGATGTTGGGCCTTGTGGCTCGTCCTAAGGTCCACCGGGGGTGAGAGTCTTCCAGGACAGGTAAAACATGTGTTTCCCGCGGGTGAGAGTCTTTCGGGACTGGTGAACTGGGTCAACTTGTTTTCCATGTATCTTTTGATTGAACCGTTGGATCTTTGTGATGTAAAGTGCTATGGAAATCTGGTTGTCTCCTGTTGATTGTTTCCAAATTTGAGCTGGATCAGACGGTGAGAAAGTTTTCATTTGAGGCTGAACTTCTGACAGTCTGACTATGAGCTAAAAATGTGGATTTCTTCCATTTTACCATCATATTCTCTAAATTTCCTGAAAAGAGCCTTGAAACTACTAATACATGGAAATCATAATAAAAGTTCCTAAACCAAAGTAAAACCTTTGAAAAATCATTTGAAATCAATGCTGAAAAGTGGTCAAAATCAAGTGTTATCACAAATTCCATCGTCATGTTGGTCTTGCCGAAGTGATCTTATTTTCTCGGCTAAAAATTCTCACATATCGATTATTTTTGAGTTTTCTTCTAGTTCTTCAAGTTTTAAGCTTGAAAATGAAATTCCGCTCGAATTGTTAGCATTTAAATCAAAACTTGGTCGAAAGATACCTATTTGAGCCCGAGAGATTTGATCGTCTGGTGGGTCATTCTTGCTTCCCAAGTCTTCGGCTCCGATTTGGCCGACAAGGTCGTTTATGCGGTGTATAACATTTAAATTTGGTAATATGAATTCGTCTGGTTCTAACGAGTTTATGAAGGTGTGCAATGCTCTTTTGTATCTGCTCCTGAGTTGTTTGTTTTTGGAACGAGTCATGGCTCCTTCCTGAACCGTTGGCATTAGATCCAGTAAGCTTTTAGGGTCGATGTCTTGATGTGTAATCATTAAACCGTCAATATACATTTCAAACCAATGGATCAGTTCAAAGAGAGATACATGATTCTGACTCAATCATGTTAAAGATGAGTACATGATTTGGGTAGTCACTAGTTGAACCAAATATGATATTAAGTCAACACATTATGTAATAGTATTATCTAGGGCTGTAATGCCACAGATAGCATTAGATCTCCTGTTAATTCGGATTGGATTCGATCTAATTAAACCACATGTCAGCCTTGCATAACATCTTAAACGAAACTTCCATGTTTAATTTTTATTTTGTAGCAGAAAGGGTGAAATTATATAAGGGATGACAGAATTTGAAAAAATAGAAAAAGAAGTATTTATAACCTGAAATATAATCTACAACAAAACCCAACAAAGACCTTGTCATACTGAACCAACGCCTTGAAAATCGAAAATGAATATACACTTCAAACAAATGGATCAGTTCAAAGAGAGATACATGATTCATGACTCAATCAAGCTAAAGATGTGTACATGACTTGGGCTAATCAATAGCTGAACCAAATATGACTCAATCAAGCTAAAGTTTCCAGTACTACCTAGGATTGTAAAGCCATATATAGTCATACGAGCATTGAATCTCGTGTTGATTTAGACTGGATGTCGATCTAAAACCACATGTCGGCCTTGCATAAAACCGTAAAAGAAATTTCATTTTTTTATATATATTTTGTAGCAAAAAGGGTAAAATTATGTAAAAGATATATGAATTTTGAAAAATTAAAAAACCAATAAATTTGAAATTCATGGTCGATTTTGCTCTTTATTGCCCGTAAAATGTAAAATGAGAAATATACTAATTTAAGTTTTTTGGGTGCTTTATCCTTGCATTGCGCTCGAGGGGATTTACTACGAGAAAAGTGATGGATTTGCTATACCTCTTTTCTGGAATCGTACTAGTTTCTTTGCTCATGTAATATGTGGTCGGCATCGAGATCCCTACACCGATTTCGCTTGTTTGTTTGATTAACGCTGGCCTCTAGATTATGAGCGACTGAGATGCTGATGTGAATCTACCAAACGGTTGTAGCTCGGGTTGTTATGTGAATCTATGAAACCGTCTGAAGGGTCTCTTGCGTCTATTTCCTTTCGTAGCATGGTGCCTTGTAGTCTATATTATATTCTCTAGTTGGAGCTTCAAGATCATACTCTTGGTTCATAATGTAATGTTTCTCAAGGTATTATTGATTCAAATATGTTTAATTCTCAGGTACACCATAGTTGACAAGTGAAATTTCTCATTCCAGATAAATGAGACTTTGGAAGTTCAGGCCCGATCCATAGCACAAGCGAGATAATCCACTAATTAAGTCATCTAATTGGGAGAGCGGGTGTATTTTCTAGTTATATGTTCCTAATTAGAAATTTTCTTAATATATATGTTTACTTGTTTATTAGATAGAATATATGATAAATGCATATTTAGAGCATATTTATTAATTTGCAAAGGGCTTTTTGGCACTTAGAATTTATAGATGTAGTACCAACAGCTTGGTTTTTGGTAGTGGGTATGTCCATGATCAAGGATTGTGTCGATGATATTCAACCCAAGTACTGGTCAATTCAAATGTTATATTTGCCTCAAATGCATTAGATTTTTATTAGCGCAGCCACTAGAGCATTGGCTTGGCATTCATTTAGGTATCATTCTTCTGTGATTTTAAGTTCTCTAAATAGCTGATTAGAGAACTGAGCTAGAAGCAACAAAAACAAACAATCGTGCTTCCTTAATTGTTCATAGTGTCACGATTGAGGATTGACGATAATCATATGTACTGGTAAGCAATCTGATATGGTTGCATGATCTTTGAAGCTGAAGCTAGTTTGTTGTAGTGAACACCTTTCTTTCAGCAAAAGACTATTTAGTCAATCTAGTTATGCATGATACAAGTATCGAAGTATTTTAACTTTTTAAGTATTTTCATTTTTTTTTAGTGTGATAGAGTAATGAAACCTGTATCTCTCTTTATTGAATCAATGAACGGATTAGGTAAATGATTACAATCTCATGTTGATCGTATCGATTATCTCATGTCAATCATCTTCTAAAATGTTAGAGCTTGTAACAGAAGTTCTCATTTTTTTCTGTTTGTTGTATATTTTGGATCTTATAACAGATTTTCATGGATCAAAATCGTTAAAATGGCTCTTTCAATGATGAAAAGAGGATCTAACATTGTTGAAACTCTAGTGTGGAACAACAACTTCCCTTTTCCCAGTAAAGAACATTCCCAAATTGAGTGGTCATGTGTCAGTTGTGGAAACAAAGCTTGTAACAGCCATTGAGCTGTTCTGTTTTTTCCCTCTATATTTTCTAAGAGAGCTCTCGAGAACATTAATCTCACAAACTGTCAAAAACAACAAAACCAACACATCCACGAAAATTTGATCACATAATTTGATATGTTCCAAACCTAACGTCTATCCATGGATCTGCAACCTTTCTTTTTGATCACCATCTTCAAATACATATTCTAACCCGGTCCAAACTATCAGCACAAACTGAAATTGTACAATCACAATCACGTCATTACTCCATTTGGCCTTGTCTACATATTTTGAGTTTATCAAGATTTCATATTCGAACTAATATTATTGAGTTTGAACGATTCCTGAAAAATAATTAACAAAGGAACAATTCTAGATTCTTACAAAAATTTATTCAAATTCAATCGTAAGAAACAAACAGCGGCAAGAACACATTGGACAAGTAGTTCTCCTTCTTTATTATGCATTTGGCCCACTTCCTCACGACGATGAGGTCAAAAAAGTAGAAAACCAAAAAAGGGAGCCCAAACATTTCTTTCTTAATTTCTTTGGTTAAATGTTAAACTAAAACTCGCAAAGTTCACTCCCAAGTAACCGAGATCATCGAATTAGCTGAGGCCAGATTGATCAAAAGTCGTGTTAGCTCCATAATCTAAAGTCTTGGAAGCACCAGGAATCGCTTGTACCAGTTTAAACGCCTTTTTCTCGGATTCCTCCATCTGAGAATAACAGAAGGACCAGAGAAGCTGAACTGGTTCGCTCTTGAGAAATCTCCTTTGCTTTCTTCTCCCATCTGGAAACCGAACGCAGAGACTACACAAAAGCTTCGATCACAATCTCCTTTTGGCTCTTCTGTCAAATCTGAGAAGTCTAAACAATCCTACTCTCCTCCTCTTCTACTTCTGAAGAATCTTCAAATTCGGGCTCCCAAGATGGAGTCACGATGTGATCATAGTTGTTGTTTGATGACCAAGGCTCCATGTTTTCAAACTCTTCAACGCAAGAAGAAGCCACGGTTTGCTGGATGATGTTGCTTGAGGACCAAGTATTATCCTTTTGAAAGTCTTCACCTGAAGAACCCGCGACTTGATTGATGTGGTTGCTTGACGAACAAGTATCTTCCTTTTCAAACTCTTCAACCCAAGAAGGAGCAGGGGCTTGATCGTTTTTGTTGCTTGAAAAACCAATGTTTGCCTCCATAAACCGCGACAAATCTTCGACAAAACTCTGAGCTTCAATCTCGCCGCTCCACATTCGCATCTTCTGACCAGTGATGGGATCGATCACAAGCACCACTGGAGGAGCACATCCGATTCTGTAGAAGCCTGAGAATTTCTGACCTTCGATTGTATGATCATACACTTGCCATAACATGAATCCTGCTTCAACTGTTTCCGAAACAGCTTCGTTTGACCATAAATCTCGATTAAGCGTATGAGAAGCGAACTCTTTTCTCGATTGGAGATTCACTATCAACCATAGATTCTCTTCCGAGGAAGTTGATTTCGCTTCTTGAAACGAACCCTCGAAAAGCAGATTTGGAGGAGGACGTGAAGACAATCTAGAATCTAGTTCTTGTTCATCAGATGTTGTCGAATCGTCGGACTCGGAGGTATCATCAGAAGTACGTGCCCTAGCCGAGTCGTGATACATCGAAGGATCATAGTTGTTGTCGAAGAGAAAGAGATTGATGGCTTCTTCTATGTTCCAATTCGTTGTCTCTAGGAACCTTGTTGCGGTTTCGACGGTCTGACCGACAGCGATTTCTAAGAAAGACGAGATTAGTTTATCATATCGTTCGTCCATAGACAAAGCTGGATAGGGTTCTTTGTTGAGGAAGAGATTGATTTCTTTGTCAAGCTGCGACCTTGTTGTTATCACTCTCTGTTTGTTAGCCCTCGAAAATGTTGCTCCCATTGTTTCTGTTCTGAGAGAGATCAATGTGATATTCAGAGGAATTGAAGATTGATAGGAAGTCGTAAGAGTTTTTGTTAAGAATGATAGGGTTTGGTTCTTTTTATATAGATACTACTGATCCGCGTGTGATATATGCAGAAAAACTATACACAATATTATTGATGCTTACAAAATTGATAAATCGTGTGTAATTAGATTTTCGATAAGGATTTGCGTTTCATGAGGTTTTTCTTTAACCTATATTATTATTTGTGTGTGTTCTCATAACTATTCTATGTATACTTTTGTGGTGACACTAGATTTTGCATCCATGCTATGCATAAATATTTTTTTTGATAAAAATTATATGCAACAAATTATATTTATTAAAATATTTTTTTTTTTAATAATATATGAAAATTATTACAGTTTTAATCTTAGAACTAGGTGACTGTCCGCGCAAAGCGCAGACTTTATACATTTAAGGAGTTGTATAATATAATTTTATATCTGAGATTATGCATAATTTATGTACTTATATATACATTGAACGAAAGAATGTTTAGGCAAATTTAAAAGAAATTCTAAGATAACTCCTAAAAATTGAATGATATACAATTCATCATATATATTTGAAAATTTCTCGATATATATTAAACCTTAATAGAAGTTTAACATAAATAGAGATTCTTGATGGTGATGTTTTATTTATGACTGTATTGAATTTTTATAGGCTTTCTATTATTGATTTTCATAATTATTATATTATAACAAAACATGACATATATATTCAACTAAATTAGCGGTGGAAAACATGACCGTTATTTTTCAAAACATTGCAAAAACTACTATTGGTTGTCGTAGCGGTGGTTTTCACTTTAAAGTAGTACCCATTTGTTACTCGTAATCTAACTTCATTTATTTCTATTCATTGTTGAGAATAACTGCATCTATTTTTGAAAAAAATGTCTCCTTGCACGATGATTTCGGATTTAGGTATAGCATCTGATCGATTTTCTATCTGTGTTCAAATTATCAAGAGTGTCGAGGAAAGTCTAGGTGTTCACGGTATTCAGCGATCGTTTATATTCGCAGACGAACATGTAAGTATAACTTCAAAAATAACATAATGTCTGAATCTTAATATATTATCAATACCATCATTATTTTTTAACTGAAAATCTAGGGTGATCGAATATGTCCATCGATTCCGAATCGTTTAGTAGACCGTTATGAAGGCATGATGTGTGATAAAGATTGGTACTTCATTGGTAATTTTAAAATTACTTCACACACGGGAACTTCGAGGATTACAGTCAATGGTCTCCATATCTGTATCGATGAGGATACTCATGTTGAGAAGACATCGCCTAAATCAGATGACCAGTTGTATTCATTTGCTAATTTTAGAAGAGTCCTTGACGAATCTCTGATGGAAAACATAGACGTTGGTATGTTTTCTTAGTATTTTATTATACTCAATTAGATTAATTAATACTATAATTAACTATATGAATATATTGCTTTATGCTAGTTGATTTGATCGGAGGTATTATCAAAGTTTGTCAATTGGAACGTCAAGACCAATTTTGGATCGGAAATCAGAGAATCAACTCAAGTGTTCTAAAATTTACAATTAGAGATTTCGAGTAAGAATCCATTGATACAAAGACGAATACATATATAAATCTTTACTATCATATTCTCGATATTAAGGAAAATGATATATTAATTCTGGTTTTTAGGGGTGTCGACATCAATTGCATAGCGTGGGGAAGAGATGCTGAACATTTTGAATCCTTATGGAAAAACACTCCTCGTCGCAAAATCGTTTTCTGTGTATTGAGATTTTGGGAGATGTGTCGATATGGAGGTTATTTCTCATTCTATCGACCAACTATATATCAATTTATATTTATATCAATTGTAGCTAATATAATTTTCCATATTGTACATATGAAATACGTGTTTGTTCTGGTCGAGAATTCTCTGAAATATTGTTCGATCCTCCAATTCCTGAAGTCGAAAATTCTCATTTTATGTAAGCATTGTTCACCGTTATCATCTTGTAAATTTCCTAAACAAAATTGTTGAATATTATACTCATTAGTTATCTTGTTCTTGCAGGCTTGACTGCACATATGATTTTAACAACATTGAAGATGGCTATTTTTTTTATCACTCACCTATTTTTCCTAGCCATTGAATCTATCAATTTCATTTGATGTTTTCCTTTCTTTTGTTTGACACTTCTGTTTGACTTTTTTTTCTCATTATTCTGAATTTTAAAACCCTTTAATTAGATGAAAGAATTATTATACGTAATAAAATTAGAAAATATTAAGATAACACATTAATAGTATGAGTGATATTGAAAACATTATGAATTACTAATCAATTTAGTAGATTAGGGCAATAAGATATCAGCTGCATCCAAATAATTCAACCTGTTCCAAATCCTGAATTGATCTTGTTCCAAATCCTGAAATATTGATTTTAAAGGTATATCAATCAACCTACTTATTTATTATCCTGAAATATTGTTGTTCCTTTAATTCAAATATAAATATTATCAATAAAACTACTTACTTGGATTTTAAAATGGATACTTGACTGATATCTGAAACAACGTCAAAACGGGATAAACCATGTTCTTCATGATCTTGGATAATCACGTTCTCTAAAAACGTACATAATTTGATTCGTTTTAGTTTATAAAACATTAATTATAAAACAAAACAAAATCGTAGCATCAGAACACATACCCCCATTAATTATGACGCACCAATCCGTTAAAACACAAATAGCAAAAAGTCCTTTAGACTTCACACACTTTTCATTTATCTCAGATGCTAACGCACCATGTGCAATACACTCAAGCATTACATCCCTATGTTTTGAAAAACAAATTTATTAAGAACTAATTAAATATATAAATTATAGGTAAATTGACTTACTCATCGTCTATGATACGAAACCGAATTGATGCCCTCGTCGTACCATCTGGATACATGATAGTAAAGTACCTAGCATCTTCGACCAATCCTATCAAATCTGAGTTTACAATTAAAGTAAATCAAAACAATGAATTAAAACAATTAATTTTCTTTTATATTTCGAAATTAAAATCAAACTCACCAATCAAATAATAATGCTCACTTGGGTATTCATAAATTGATAAGAAAGAGATAAAATTATGGAATGAATTGTTTGTTACCGGTAGAACCGGTAAAAGGATAGTATTTTTCGTTAAAGTAATAAGAGAATCATGTTTCGTAATATTTACGACAGTTCTCCAATTATAAGGATTCAAAAGAAATCCAGATGACATGATCCATTGTTCTTCTATACAATTCCGATCGAAATAGTCCATCATTTGGGTATTTGCCCGAATATGTATTCTAGAACCGTACATCAATATACAAACAAATCAAAATATCGTAATCAGAATAATAATAATACATATATATATATATATATATATAAATATCACGAAACATTATTAAAATACCTGTTCGTCGACAACGATCAAATTTAAGCTTCTCTTGCTACACGAACAATCCACCTTCCATTTTTTCAATATTTTTACCACAATTTTCCAATCAGATCTCCGTGAGCTCAGTGTTCGAACAAAATCATAATTTGCCATCACTCAATGTTAATCTTTCTTGAAGACCGTGAACAAATCAACAAAGTACACACACATATATATATTGCATAAATCAACATAAAAAGTATATTCGCAAAATGTAAATATTCCGAATATTACTCATTCAATATTTGTAAATATCTTCAAAAACAAATCACAATCCAAACTAAATGTAAATTTTACATTACGTCATAAATTAAATTCCAAAACTTGCTTAACTAATTTGTCTTAAGATTTAACCCCAAAAAGAAAAGGAATAAAATCAATTGAAATGAAAACTTCTAGGGGATAATTATCCTAAACCACTAATTTATGTACGTAATAAGGAGTCTATTTTGATATTTCTCATAGAATAATATAAATTGTTATTTTTGTAAGTATCAATATTTTCTTGGAAAATGTAATAATAAGTAGAAGACTATTATACTTTATGAGAAAAGTGAATAACTTTTACTTCATGGTCTGTAACTGATACAAAAATACTGAAGTGAGATTATCTATGATAGAATAAAGTTTTATTTAGAAAGCAAATTACAATATATATATATATTGTTTGTAGTTTTTGTAATTCAGATTATCTATTGTTTTTGTAATTCAGATTTTCTGTGTTATAATATATATCACGATAAAGTATTGTTTGTAGTTTTGATTGCATTAAATTATATAATGAGATATCAGTTAAAGTCAAAGACTCAAAGTCGTTGTGTAAACACTAAATAGTATTTCTCCCAAAAACATTGAAACTTGAGAAAATTGAATATATTTACAAACCCAAAGGTCTTCAAAACGTCTCTGCTTTTACCATTCTTTATTAGCAAACCAAACAAAAAAAATGGAGAACAAAGAACAAAAAAATACGATGAAAATGGACTTCTCGTAATCACAGCAGCACCATTGAGAATGCGTTTCGGTGAGGATGAACCTAAGTCACCACCTATGCCATCTGATTGGGAGATCGAACTAAATATGATTTGGGAAGAAATGGAATCGCAAAGCAAACCAATTGAAAAAGTCACACCGACTATCAAAGAAGTAAGTTATACTTTCATTCATATTTAATTAATAATATATTTTTGATTAGAGATCCATGATTTTTGAATGTATAACAATTGTTTTTGTTTGTAATATCTCTCTATAGACTGATAATGAGATATCAACTGATGAATCTCCAAAATCACACTGCAAAAAAGGGAAACATGAACTGTGGCTAGATCTCGAAATAGGTTTAAAATGCATAAATTGTGGATTCATTGAGAGAGAGATCAGACATATGGATACAGCGGAATGGGTAATCAGTTAAATTTTTCATTAAATTATAGAGAACTTTTAGGAAATTACTTGATATAACCGTTATTTTTATATTTTTCGTCTTGTAGTCAGAGAAGAAGGTGAAGAATGGGAAGAGGAAGAGAAAGTTGAGAATATAGTTGATGGTGAACTATATTTTCTTTGAAATTTTATTGCTACTATATTTTATTTTATGGTTAGCACTTAAAAAACTTTGAATGGCTATATTTATGTAATATTTTTGACTTCTCTCCTTTATGGTATTTGATGATATATTATTTGATGATATTATTATATGATTATTATGATATATATAAAATCAATAAATTCATTAAATAAAAAGTGAATCAGTAAATAAATAATTAATTATTTTTGTATCTAAATCTAATCCAACCTTAAAATATAACTCATAGATGATAAATTTTTCTTTTTGTTAAGCAAGAATCAAATAAATACTGATCGGGTTTTAAAACAACAATAGAACAGAGAAAAGCAATGCCACAAAAACAACAAAGCGACTAAATATTATCAAAGACATCCTTGTATACAACGTTTAATGTCTTCGTTTGAGGCTTTTTGTCTTTGTCCGTGATTAAGATTTTTAGTCCTGATTTGGATGTTACCCGCGAAACAGCAACATACAGTTGACCATGTGTAAAGACTGGTTTAGGCAGATACAATCCAACTTTAGCAAGTGTCTGACCCTGACTCTTGTTTATCGTCATCGCAAAAGCAAGGGTAATTGGAAACTATTTGCGCCTCATTCTGAAAGGAAATTTAGTCTTTGTCGGAGATAAAAATATCATAGGAATAAGAACTTTCTCTCCTATTTTGTCACCAGTTATTATTATAGCCTCTCGGACATAATTGGCCATCTGAGTAATAAGTAACCTAGTTCCATTACACAAACCATTCCTAGGATCAATATTCCTCAGCAACATAACAGGAGTACCGACTCTTAAACGCAAACAATGGTTGGGTAAACCAGAAACTTTGACACTGTTTAGAAACTCTTCTGTATATATCATATTACCCGGATCGTTTTTGCTGTCTGAGCGAACACTCTGAGAGGGAATTTCAGATGCATCATCCGTATCAATTTCTCTATCAGAGGGATCAATACTATCACAACTTAGATAGGTTCGTTCCTCACCTGTTATATGCAAAACGATAATCAGCATTACAAATAAAAAATATCTAAAACATTAATAAAGACGAAAATAATAAAACATTTCAAAAATTAACTATTTAAATATACCTTTTAATTGTGATAACATGTAATCATTTATAAGTCCAACATCATCATTCCTTGGACTCAAAATAGCCCTATCCTGAAAGAACTTAGATCTTTTTGTGAAAATCCTGTCCATAAACTTCATCAACAATAGCTTTAATCGGATTCTCACAATCATTAATCAATAGTTCACTCGGAATATCGTTTTCGCTTTCCCCGCTATCACTCGGATTTATTTTTCCTTCTCCGATATCAAGAATCCACCTTGTAAAAGATGCTAGCTCACACATCTCACGACTGTTGTCTCCAGGGATTACTCGCATGTTACGTGTAAGCCTCAACACTTTACATCCAAACCAAAGGGGAGATGAATTTAAAGTAGCCATAAGAATCTCTGTTTTGCCTGCGTTTGGAATAACAGGCAAAATTTGCCTGAAATCTCCACCAAAAACGATAACTTTACCACCAAAAGGCTTGTCACATTTTAATATATCTCTCAAGGTTCTATCCAATGTCTCGTAACAATCCCTACTCATCATTAATGCTTCATCCCATATTATCAGTTTAGATGCATCGATCAGTTCTGCAAGGTTTGATTGAGATTTGATTGCACACGTCGTAAAACGATTAACAACAATTGGAATTGCAAATCTCGAATGGGCCGTTCGACCTCCTTGCAATAACAAAGCAGCAATTCCACTTGGTGCAACATTCAGAACAATATCACCTTTTGAACGTAACGCGGTTCCTAATAAGCTCCACAGATATGTTTTTCCGGTACCACCAGAACCATAAACAAAAAACCTTCCGCCAGAGCCTGAATAAACAGCTTCTAGAATCTCATCATAGATAAGTCGTTGTTCATCAGTTATCGTGGCAAACAACTCATCATGTCTAACTGGCAAATAATCTTGATCATAACTTCTTTCATCACGAATAAGAGGATTACCGCGTATACTCATATCCAAATCATCTGAATACGGCATACATGAAAAATCTGTAAGAGAACTTCCAACAGTACGCAGAAGCATCTCTATCTCAGCTAAGCAAAGGTTTTTAACCTGGTCAGTAGACAGCCTAAGATCTGCAAATCAGTAACCCAAACATAAATATGAATATATAGTATATCACGTGAAATAGTTAAACAAATAATTATTTTAGTATTGATTAAAAAACTGACCTGGTTTTTTTTTAAATTTTTCTTTGAGTATATAACACGTGTTCGGATAAAATATCCCAAGTAGCATCCCAAACTCTCGAAGGCATTGAAAGACTTCTTGTAGTCAGCATAACTACAAACAACCTGCGCATAGTTATTGCACTAACCCATAAACTTGCATCTTTTATAGCCGCAATGTATTCTTTGTCGTCATCGAGTAACCCAAGGACAAAGCAAACTTCTTTGAATGTATCATAATGATGCCCTTTAACCGTTCTTATATCTTCGAAACACGTTGGACCTATAACTATATTGAGCAAGAGCCTCAAATAATAAGCCTCTCCTACAGACATAGGAACATAGGTGATCCTACCAATAGCTTTTCCTTTCTTCCTTGGTTTCCATTTCCTTAACTTTGTATCAAAAACAAATTTACGTGGAAACTCTACGTAAGTTAAAGACCTACCTTCTTCATACTCTTTATTACATTCCATCCAAGCCATGAATTTGGACATACCAACGGTAACACGTTCAACCACTTCTTCAGCATGATCATCTTCATTGTATATCATTAATTGCTGATTCGGCAGATGAAACGGGAGTTTTGTCATAGAAACTGTACGACTATGTGTATCATAACCCTCGATCCTCCATATAGACTCGCCAGGTGATATATACCTAAACATAACATACAGTAAATATCAATGATGGTATTGAAGACTTCATTGATAAGATAAATAATGAAAATTGCAAGAAACATACCTACATTTGAAATGCTTCTTAACTTCATCATCTTCGTCATCTTTGCCTACTACTGCGCGAACATAATTAGCTCCTTTATGAATATATTTAAAAAGATACTTGACAGATCGCGATTGTATACACCATTCCACATTAATATGAGCTCGATATCGAATAGAAAGTTTTCTGTTATACGGAACCACATAACCATTGTCACAATTGAATCCTTTCCTCGTTACAAATCTCTTGTCTTTACGTCTCCTGTATATCGGGTATCCAACATCATCAACTTTAGTAACAGGACTAAATGCCTTTGGAAAAAATTTGGTACATCTACCATCAGCCATACAAACACTATCCCTATCCAAAGCACCACATGGTCCGTGCATCATCACATCACCAATAATTTCGTATAGATGAGGATCAGTTTCCTTATCAGGAATCTCGGCACATATAATCTTGTCGATATCATCACCAGTTGGTAGTTTGTGTTCGGGCCTCAAAAAAAGAATGATATGAGCATGAGGAAGTCCTCTCTTCTGGAACTCTATTGTATATATTGCTATCATAAAACACGTAAAAACATAAAAAATAAATCAGTTATCAAAAATCATATGCAAATATCATCAATATAGATTTACATTTAAATAGAGCATACCAGCATTTACAACTCCCAAGACATTTTTTTTAGTTAGCTCGTACATGAGATCATCAAGTTTCATTTTGAATACTCGAGCGCATATGTCTGGTCTATCTTCTGCTTTCAAATTATGTCTTTGTAAATGCCTAGTAATTTCAGGCCATTTTGGATTACACGTGAACGTGATGAACAGATCTGGAAATCCAAAATGTTTGCACGTGGCCATAGCGTCCAGACAATGTTGAAGTATATATCTTGTACCACCAGTAAAAGAAGCAGGAATGAAAATTCTTCTACCTTTCTCAGAAAGATCAGAATTTCCTTTATCAGCGGCATCCTTTATATTATCGAAAGTATCGGATCAAAGTTTCTGTTGATTCATTGATATGAAGGGAAGTCTATTCGTCTCGATCATCGTGAACGCGTCAACCAAAAACTGTTGGTACAATCTTCCGGACATTACAATTGTTGGAGATTCTCCAAACCTCTCTTGAACCCTAAAAGCAAAGAACTCTCTCATAGTAATCTTCAAACGTTTCCTCCCTTTCTTATCTACATATCCAATATCTATACCGAGTCTAAATCCATCTTCACCATATGGAAACAACAATGGATATTGTAAAGGCAAATAAACAGGATGCAATTCACTGATTCTCTTCAATCTTCCAGACCTACTTTCAATAACTATATCTCGTGTTTCGATTCCAACATCGAAATCATTAGGTACCAACACAGCAACTTCTTTTGCAGTTGGCGAATTAGTAGTTCGTCCATCTGATGTTCTATCATATTCCAGTTTTAACCGTAAATCATTGGTATCCCCAAGACTTCCAAACTTATCTCGTACCGTCCTGAAAGCTTTGACGTGAAGATTTTGTCTATCCAACATTTTTTTAAGTGTTTGAACAACATATTCTCTTAATGCTGAAGTGGAACCAACCGTCCTTTATCACAAAAAACAAATGAATCAAAATAACAATTCGTTAGAACTTTTTATATCTTAAAAAACCAAAAAACAGCAGTAAAAAAACAAACATAATTTTTCTTACCCATATGCAGATATTCTGTTGGATGTTTCATTTGCTGGAAAACATATGGCCCTTTTCCATCGTTGATTGAGTTGTTAACTTTTCCTCCAAGCGAAGTAAAAGAAAACATCATGTTATATGCACGGATATGGTCACAAAAATGAGACCTTTCATCACCAACTTTGTATAAATACGATAATAGAGATTGTGGTGGAGCTCTAATCAAGGGAAGAACAACTTTGCCTTGCATGCAGCATGTTGAAAACTTGGGTTTAGCTCGTGTAGCCTTTTTTGCCAATCTTTCTCCATACCACATATAAGCTTTGCAAAACTCACATATATAAATAGGATCACCGTCATCATAATAACCTAAAAAAAAGATTTTATTATATAATAATAAAAAATTAAGAACTAAATTACAAAAACCAAAATAAAACGTTAATTAATAAATCTTAAATAATATCATTAACATCTAATCCCGGTTTTACAATTGAGACTATGTCGGTCCGAACAACTGGTTCATCTGCGGTAGCAACACCATTATTGGTTGCCCTTTTTCTTTTGCTCGACGTAGAACTTTTTTTTATTAACAGGAGAAACATCGGTATTCTCTCCTTGTGGCACGACAATATCGGCCAATTGCTCTTCTGACTCGCTATCTTCATCGTTTTCTCTTTCAGAATCAGAATCAGTAGCTATAAAGCAAGCAAACTCGGCACTATTGTAAGAATCAAGCAAGGAATCTACACAGAAGATCATAGATAATAAAAGTTTAATACAACTATTAATTTGTTGATAATTAATTTGATAAAACAAAATATATAATTCAGAACAAATTACAAATCAAACCAATATCTTGTTTTAAGGCTTTCTTATCTCTCATAATAATCTTTCTTCTCTTCCTCGCAGCACGACAACCTTCCAAGGATAAATCTCTCTCATCAACGTAGAATTGACCAATTCCTCGACCAGTTTGGTAACTATCACCAGCTTTGGTTGGGGCATATCTTTCGTTTCTTGGAGTAACTCCAATCTATGTTAATTAAATAATTACAATTTTAGATATTTTTCCATACTAATAAACACGTGACATCGACCATAACTCACTTTTTTTGGATACATATGAAGAAACCAGGAAGTCAGCATCATCAGATCTAGCTTTGCGCTTCATTCTGATTTTTGATAACAGAAGTATACAAAAATTGTCTATCAATGTATATATATATATATAAATATATATATACATATATATCATTATATTATATAATATACATTTATGTTAACTAACTTAGATTTTTTTTATATTTTCCGTATAACCGAAAATATTTATAGATTAATGATTCAGTATCTATGCTAATCCTAAATATTTTCTAAAATAAGATTTTTTTTTCCATTTGCCGAACAATGTACATTTTTGATACATCCTATAAAACTCCATATTTTCCAATTCTCAATATTTTTTAGTAAGATCTCCGATCGTAAGGTGATGCATTATATTTTTTCTTTTCTCGATTATAATACTAAAAAAAAAATGTTTGGTAATGTGTAAAAGTATTAACTATGAGAATATATATTTGTAAAGCATCAAAGAGTTGTCAACGATTTAACATATTCTTTAGTTTATTTTATCATATTAAACAATTTATATATATATATTGTTTCCTTTTCTAAACATAACTTATTAGCTTATATTGTTCATATGATAAATAAAACTCTTTAGCTTAGCCATATAATAAATATGATTCATATTAATAATTCCAGAAAGTTACAACTATAAAAAAAAAACAATGAACTATTCGACGATATAAATGGATCAGTGCTTAAAACACAAACTTCATATGAAAAAAAAGTTTGACGAAATTCATCAAATCAAAGACATTTCTTTGCATGCATCTTTGAATGTAGGATAAACAACACCTTCAACAGTCCTAATATCTTCATAAGAACGTGGTCCTCTCACGACACCCAACAAAAGACGCAGGTAGTAAAGCTCACCATCATCAACGCTACAACGATCAACCATAAACCTACTTAACGTAGAACGAATACGTGGCTTCCAAAGTTTTCGTATACGATCCCAAACAAAGTATTTTGGTATTTCAGAGTATAAGAGCTCTCGGGCATTAGGAGAGTCCTGGTTACACACCATCCAAGCTGAAAACTTAGTTTTTGTTTCTGAAACTGGTAAATCTAGTCAGATGAGAAAACGTTCTTTGAGGGAGGTAAATGAAAAGGTAGAATCTCCACTTTTCCTCTTCCATGAAAATCATTGTCTATTAGAAATCCACAAAAATAAGAAAGAAACTATCATATACCAAGAAAAAGTCGTCATTTGAGTAGACTATAGTTTACAAATCAATACTTAGCCCTTTGAGTAATATAACAAAATTGTTAAAACTTGGCTACAAACTCTCATATAACAAAATTGTTAAAACTCTCATATACCAAGAAAAAGTCGTCATTTGTGAAGAATAACAAATAAAGATTTGAGAGAATTGTGTGATAACTAAAAATAGGCTACAAATTAAAGGAAATAAGAATAAAAAACCTGGAAACTCCATTAGAAGAGACGCAACGAAACAATAGACCTAGGACGATGAATTAAACTAATGGACATGAATACATATACACATATATATAATGTTACAAATTTTGGGTTTTAGTACTTTAAACATTTTTAATTATATAAATATTCAATTTTAACATTTTTGATTATATAGATAATATTAATGCCTAAACCGCATGTAAACGATAAACAATTTCCATAAGCCATATATTGTGTAAAGAGATAATCACTACCGAAAATATAAAAATAATAAGTAGTTTACAATACTCGATTAACATATATTAATATACTAAATTATTAATAAATTATTAATATTAATATTTTGTATTATCAGACTATAGGTATATCAACGAAAGACTGACCGAAGATATTCTATCTAGACTGTCATAATACCAACAATATTCTATCTAGGCTGTCAGAATACCAACAAAACCATAAACGCTTTTTAGAAAAGGTTCTCTACAAAAAATTATATTTTGGGGAAGCTCTTCTATGTTAAAATTTTTACAATTTATTGAATATATACACACCAGAATAAACAATATACCAGAAAAATAAAGGACTAAATCGAGGAAATACAGTATATGAAAACCAAATAACTTTTTTTTCGAAATTAGAATAACTGTCACGGTCAGTGCACCAGTCATTAAATAACAAATTTTAGTTTATCATATATAACATATAAATATATATATATATATATATATATTACACAAAATCATAATATTAGTTAGTATTTTAAATTTATGTTTTCGATAAGTTTATTGTATATTGGAGATATACATCTACCAAATATTATAGATATACATATATCAAAAACTATAGATATCCATCAATTCAAATCTATCAGAAGTTGTCAGATATTTTTTCAAAAACGCAATGAATACTTAGCCCTTTGAGTAGACTATAGTTTACAAATCAACTTTTCAAATCACCATACATCACAAAAAAAGACAAAAACACTACAAAACCATTGATATACGGATTTATTCTAAACACTAAAGACAATGTAACGATATCATTCATAACATTCATAACATTCATAATATAAATAAGACATAATCATTCATAACATTGATAATATAAATAAGACATAATGCAGGATGCATAGAGTCAAACCGAAATAACAGATTAAACAACAACCGATATCACTTAATAAGTATCATAATATAATATTTTTACAAACATTAAAAAGAAAGATAAGGAATTGACATTCCATCAATGGTGCATTAGTTAAGGCGGTATCGTCTACAAAAAAAAATCGATATGTTAGATCAATATATCTAAAATCAACTAACAAAATATGTCAATAAAGAAAAAATAAATTTAATATTTACTTAGCCCTGAAATCGTCAATCTCGTCATCAACATGATTACACAGGAAATCAGAGCAAGGAGGGTAAGAGCACAGGACAACCGAATTCTTATCAACACCTATCATTAATTTTACGAATCAGAATTAGAAGAATGCAAGATTAGCTATTCTAAAATACTAAAAAAAGGAATAAAAATCTACCTTGACCATTAGTCATCTTCCAAAACCTCAGCACAAACACCATTGATTCACTTTGATTACGTTGATAAACACTATGCAGATTCTTAGCCAAATTCCCACGGGCGATACATGGCAAT